CAGTCATAGAACATTCTAATGACCATAGGCTGTTTCTAAAACGGACATTTTAAATGGACAAAAAGCAACAGGCTTTTTCTTAAAAGATAGATTCGAGTAAAAAACTGACGAGCAGTTCAAAATTGCCGAGTCTTTCTTAGTTAGACTGGAGTGTTGGATAGCTCATTATTGGAGTTTCCTAACGGCCGTATGTGGTTTTGGAATGCATGATCTGGATGCATCAAACCCGTCATGGAATTGTAGCACGTAATGAGTACGTCAAACCTCGGTTCCGAATTAGTAGGAGTTCTCCATCAGACATACATTTCGTGCCGGTGAGATTTTTAGCGACAAAGTCGGAATGAACTGCCTTATTTTTTTTACCGTTAATTTCTAACGTTTTATGTATTTCGCACTTCTGATGTCATAAAAGAAGTAACGGAAGAAAAATCTCTGCAGTGTAAGATCAAAAAGATTTTATATTTGTTTATAAACTTCAATTTTTTAAACGTAACTACAGTTTAACTTATATGCTTCCGTATCACAGCTTGAATCAAAGCCGAGCAGGGGGATGGTTTAAATGAAATGGGGCAAAAAGCCTCAAATTCCACAATAATTTTTAAGGATTTCAAGGTGTTGACTCAGCTGGAATTTCCGAAAAAAAACCAAGAAGTTCTAAGAAGCTGTAAAGTATAAGGAATTTTAGCACTTTGTCCAACCTGTTACGGACTTAACGAACACTCCAACGGGCCAAACAGTTCTTCTTTCCAGCATCCAGACTGGAAATGACCGTATCTTACAATGCTGATGTATCAAGTGCCAGCTTTTGGAGCTTCGTTAAAATAATGCTCCGATGGAGGGGAAGTGTGTGGAAGATGATCTACTTTGAACTAGTACTCTGGTGCACTACTTTCACAATCTTTTCTCTCATTTATCGTCTAGGATTGGACAAGAATCAGCAAATGTAAAGAACAGTAACCATTTCGAGTCAGAGACAAAATTGATCAGAGCTGTTTAAGCAAAACCATTGTAGACTATTCGAGAAAATCTGCCTACTTTGTAACAAATATGGAGATTTGCTGCCAGTGACATTCATGCTTGGATTTTATGTAAGTTTGGTGGTGACAAGATGGCAAAGTTTCTGGAAAAATGTTGGATGGGTTGATAGGTAAGACCTTAATCACGATCGGCGACACAACTGAATACCTTACTAGAAACAACAAAATTTGTTTAATCATGTCATAATAAAGTATTCCCAGCTTAAGATAATCCACACCTGATTAAGGCAGCTTGTGAAATACTAAAAGTGAGCGAAGCTTTTTTGTGTGTTTCGATAGGAATTCTTTTTCAAGACAGCGTAAATGTTTTGCTTCTTTTTGTAGAAGTAGTTAGCTTCATTTGCCATAAAAAGTACACCTCAAGGAGCATTGTTTTTGGAAATAAGCTAAGTGTCACAAAAGGAACTAACATTAATATAAGGCAGTCGCCCAGACAAAACACAACATTTAGCAGCTTGAATCGAAATCTAGCAGAGCTTGAGTATATCCAAAAAATTACTAGACCAAACAGTACTTAAAACAGTCTCATCGTTATTATGATTATATTGCTTTAAGTGCTGCGCTGTCGGTAGCTACCTACATAGCTGGCTACGACGAGCGAAGTCTGATGATAAGACGGACAATCATGCGCTATCTGTGTTGTATGCAGGTGTTGGTATTTCGTTCCATCAGTAAACCTGTTAAAAAACGATTCCCGACGCTCGAGAGCATGGTGAAAGCAGGTTAGAAGAAACTATTTCTTGTCAGTCTCACACACAAAGATTGCTGCAACCAACTAATGAAGCGTTTGACCCACATCACTGAACCATTACTACTTGATGAAAAAGACAGCTTTTAAAATGAAAGTACTGAGGTTTCAGAGTATTCTCTGAAATGAGGACGAACGACAGATCAAAATAACAAATTCTATGTTCAGCGACTGAGTTTTTTTTTAGAAATAAACAGGTGGTGGTTATACCAGATTTGAGATAATAACGGTAAGACGAGATAACCACAAATAATTAATTAAAAGGCAATCTCTGTTTCTAACTCAGTAGTATATATATA